ACACTCTCCTTTCGTTTTATATAAGTTTTTTGACCTTGTTTTCGCAACTTGGTCATATTGGTAGGAAGACCTAGAGGAACGAACTTTGTCCTGAGTCTATAGTATCATGGACTATAGGTCTTCCTACCAATATGACCGAATTTGTAAAACAAGGTCAAACAACTTATATCCTAATTTATAATCACGGTTTGGACTTAGCAAGCCCTGCGAAGAAAAGTTGGGCTTCCAGGAATCTCTTGTTTCATAATTATTGAGCTTACTTCCATTTCGAGTGAAAGTGCTTGTTAAAGAGATTCAAAGTTCGATCCCACCAGAAGACGAGGGAGGGTTTTTCTTGACCATCTTTTGACTGACTTTACTGGAGCATTCTTGTTGATGCTGTTTCCAAAGTAATCTTCGGTTCTAGTGAAAACGTGCTAAGCTTTCGTCCGTCGCATGACGAACATTATCAGAACAGGGTATCATCCTCAAAATCCATTTTTATTTGTATTATTGAAAAAATCTAGTTAGTTTTATTGAATTATGGAATTACTATAATGCTCGCTTTGGTTGCCTTGCACAATCTAGCTAGAGAGGTATTTGTTTAAATTATTATGACGAGCTTCGACTGTTGCCTGAAACTAACCTTTTTTATTTTAACTACTTTTTTCATCAACAAGTTGTTTTCCAAATTTCTTAACAGCTGCTAACTGACGCTATTCAAAAAGCAATCACTGAACACGACGTTGAATTCTGTACTAGCTTGTGGATAGGCAAGTCTTTTAGCTATAAAGCATTTTTATGTCTGTCAAATTTATTTGAATTTTACACAAAATACTTTAGAGAGAGGGCAATTATAAACCTTGATCTTGATATTACATTGCATTCATAAAGCAAATTTCGGTTTAAATGAATATTTGCTGCGATATTCTTTTAGCATGCTCATAATTCTGGTGAAATAAACAGGATTTAATTATTTGCAACTTTTCTAATGGTCTGCATTGCCGAAAGTTTTCCTCATGATAGTTTGTAAGTGAATGACTCAACATTATAGGCAGCGAAATTCATCTCTGCTCTGAATACTGCTCTTATTATTTGGAACCCCCAACAATTCCCGACATTCTGGAGTTGTCGTTGCACCTGCGTTTTTTTGATACCATTCCTGTACATGCACTTAGCGTGAACTTGTGCCAATCTCTTTTAAGATGATTCAAAACAAATCCCATCATTAAACTTGAAGGCTGTGCCATGTAGCTAACCAAATGTACCTGTTTGTCTCATTTTGGCGACCTATTGTCCTAGTTTTTAATCGACTGGATTCTGCACACTCATATCGGCTCAAACTGACACCCCGATAATATGTACGTGCAAATGGACATCTGGATTTCGTACTTCCTCTTATTATCCATAGAATTGGCTTTAAGTCATCCTAGTTACCATATAATCGAACTTAGCACAACTCGATTTTATTTTTAAACATTATATCTTCTAGAAAATATACACGCAGTGCGTGGCGATTCTGTGCCACGTATTCACCGAGATGTCCGTGGACGTATGCTGCCTTCCAATTACCACTTCACTAATGTTCATATCCGACTCCGCGAAGGCCAACCTCCACGAATTTACCATCCCCGACGTGTAATAGATAATTGGACCCCTACATTCAACAGTTCCGCTTCCGGTCGTATGGGATATGGAAGTGGAAACGATATGCTACTTAAAGAAATTGATCGACTGCGCAACCGAAAGCTTCATTATGGAATGTGAATAAAATAATTAAATAAAATATTTGCAACCGATAGGCAATTTTATTAGACAGCACATTCTCTGTCTTCCTCCTTCCAGGAGGACAGAAGAGGCATTTCCTCTAGTTCGCAGTTAATCATTCGCATTAGTTGATGAACATTTTAAATTCTTCAATCTTCTTCCTATTTGAAGGTGAAGCATTGGTGGAGATCATAGAGCCAGACTTAAAAATAAGCATTCTTATATATTATATACAAACATTCGAATATTCAATGAATGGTGGGTAAATTATGCCTCTTTATCAAAGAGTCTTACAATTTCACTATGTAGTTATCGGTGAGAGTTAGTAATATGAAATTTTTTCCGAAATAACGTGTAAGTTAGTGGGTGTGTCTGCATAGCCGTGTTATATTTCGGACTAGTGTTATCTATACTTGGGTGAGTACATCTCATATTACTATTTATTTACTTCAATAGCCACGTAACACTATCGGGTGATTCCACTTTTTACAGGGTCTCCAGTGGGGTATGCGCTCCGATCTCCTTGAGTTAAGATGTCAAGTCTCCACTTTGTTTAAATCTCAAAATTTTCCCCAAAGTGGCTACTATCTTTGTAAAACTGTTTACAGCATCCATCGGAGTTGTTAGCTCATCTCATTTTTAATGATAGAAGTTGCCATGAAGGTAAAATTATTGTTGTCTACTTTTGTCTGATACGAGGTTAAGGCATTAAAGGTGATCAAACCACCTGATGTTTGACACATTGAAAGGGGCGAAATAGGAGACTTTTTTCTAACAGTAGTGACCGGCCCGGTTGGTGATACGACACTCATTGCTTTAGGATTAAGTTGAGAAGACCTTCGGAACGTTAAATGAGTCTAATGTTAGTACAACCTCTTTGTAATAAAGAGCACAGCGAGCTGCGGCGGCGTGCGAATGGCTTATGCGATGACACCGAAGATGACCTCTGGGGAATTAGGGGTGCTTGCTGCCTGCGCTATTTGAATATCGGATTCCGATTGGTTCAGATGGTCCCTCCAATCTGATAGGCCTAAAAGTAAGCTCGTAATGGCGGAACTTGTTTGGTCAGTGAAAGAAATAACAGCCTTCGCAAGCGACCCCTATGCAAATTAAGTGGTGGCCGTGAGATAACGAAATAAATATAGGTGTATTCGCTCCATTTCGTTTAGGGTGACAAAGCACTGGTAAATAAATTGTCCCACAATCGACTTGCCTCCAGGATGGCTCAAAATTCATACCTCACCTACTTTATCAGTACCCCCAACGGAATTGGAACCCTGGTGGTGCAGAGAGTAGTTTTGAAATGTGCCTTTGGCTCACGCGGCCGACATCAAGACTAAACCTTTCCTATATCACATTTGTGTAATGGGATTGTCGATGAAGCAGTTTTACTTGGTATTGCAATAGACTATAGTACTTATTTTTATACTGACAAGACTATCAATCATGATCGGTCTCAAATATCTTCATTAAACGCTTCTGTATGAGTTAAATGAAGTGAACCGAAAAAAGTAGTGAAACGTCTGATGTCTAATAGCAAATAATTTTTACATAGGTAATATGATTATTAAATGATTTTTCATCAGCTGAAGTCAGGTAACATATCTATTTTCAACCATGTATTTGCTGAGCTGCCGAAAATA